CATCTGGAAACAGGATATTCACTCATATAAAGGAGCACAGAGCTGCAAATTCTGCCCTCAGAACTAGCTTGTGCCTATATGCATCTGACTTAAACTGCTGTAGAAGTATTTCCCACTCTGTCAGTAAGCGTGTGTGACATCAGAGCATGGTGTTCACACTGTCATCATCCATGAAAGTATTAATATACTAGAAAGCTTTCAAAGCAATGGATTCTGAACTAAAATTTCAGTGTATTCAGTAATGTAAAAATTCTCCCTCTCTGGACATTATACACAATGACTGATATATCTTGCTAAGGATGTGCTCATGTGATTATTTCTTTACTAAGTGTGGAAAGAGTAAACTTACTTTACTTCAATATTACTCTTTTCTCCCACCTCTTCCCTCCTTTCCCCAAAAGAAACAAATAGCTGATATTAACAAAGCCTTATACTTCCCCTAAAGGAACCCAAGAAGTAGAGAACTAAAAAAAAAAAAAAAAAAAAAAAAAAAAAAAAAAAAAAAAAAAAAAAAAAAAAAAGGCTACTTATCAAGAATCAGAGTTAAAATGAATGGTTTTGGACTGTAAGATAAAGCACCCAAAGTTGTAATTACCTCACCAAAAACAGTCTTCTTCCATGCTAAATTATTTCTTTTAATGAAATACAAAAAATTAGTTCTCTACTCACCAACAAACTCCAGCAAATTTAAGTAAAATGCATTAAGAAGTCAAATTTGAAAAACACTCACAAGGTACAAGGAGTAAAGTTGTGTGTGTTTGCATCATATTTAAACAGATACCTACAATGCCAGCAGGGATCTTGTAAAGGCATCAATTCCTCACACTGATCCATGCACAAAAAACATGAACTTGTGACACTCCAGGTATGGTAAACCTTTCGTCAGACAGATCCCCACCGAGAAGTTTGGAGAACAGAGAGCCATTAAGTATTCAACACTGCAAACAAGGCTGAACATTGTGCAGTGCTGAACGCTCCAAAAATTCCAATGAAGCTACAAATGTGTTTCACCTTGTGGAGAATCCTCCTGAGAAACGGGAACCCCTGAGCCTTCATGCTTGCTCCATCTAACTCATTTGGCAACTGCTGCCAAGCGCCCAACTCCTCCTGATACAGCTCAGATTTGCAGAGAGCCCTCAGCTCCCCTGATTTTGCTGAAGGCATCTGACCCATGTATAAGAAGTCAGAATTTTTCTACTTTGAAGGTATTCTAAATATTAACGAGAAATCCGGACTTTCTGAAGAAGCACACAGCTGTAAATAAGGTATTACGACCAGTCTTCTACAGCCCAAGCAGTAATAACTGTTCTTTCCCGACTCCTTTCCCATTGTGTCCCTTTTACTCTTTTTCAGACACAGAACGTTCCTAGATCTCAACTGACTGATTAACAAGAACCTTACACCCATGCACAGAGCCAGCAGGAGAGTTTTAAAATCAACAGCATTTTGGCATACAAAGCATGTCTTTCCATTATCATACAGGGAGGAAAGTAACCACATTAGTACCATGTTTTGTTTACATTAGTGTGTCTCATTTCTTAGGAAAGGCAAGCTTAGAAACATCTACCAAGACTGCCCTGGACTATACAAACATGCATTTCCATCTATGAAGTTCTTAGCAACTTTCTAAGCTAAGACAATGTTAAGATAATCACATCCTAACCTATAACCAGTGACTCAAGCCTTAAAATCTATATAAAACAATTACCCAATTCACAGAATTAATTCAGTTAACAGCTATTTTCCATCCAATACAGTTGTTTCAAAGATGCTTTGAAGATTCAGAGTGCTGAACACGTGGAACTTTCACCATCTCCATCAGAAAGTTCAAAAGCTCTTATCTGTCCTCCTGCCTGGTGGAGTGAGTTTGGCACTCACAGAACGACGCTGGCTTTGCCAAGCAGCGAGGGCTGGTGTTACACACGCCTCATTGCACAGCTCTGTCTGCCCACTCTTCAAACAAAACTGCCAGCCTTTAGGTCTTGCTTGAGCAACAACTTCAAACTGTGGGTCCCTGGAAGCATGTAAAATTCCTTCAGCTCCTAGTGAGACCAATAAGCAAGGAAGGTGAGGACTGCACTGCAAAACACCACTGGGAGAAAGCCAAGCTGCACAGAATGAACTTAAAATACCAAAATCACTTTCTTAAATGGCTCCAAACATGATGTGAAACCTGTTCTTTCAAAGTAGAATATATTGAGCTCCTTTAGACTTGTCAGGCACAAGCAGAGGTCATGCTGCTAAAGGATGTTTGCAATATTAAGTTCTTGCTACTTCATCACTTAGGGAGTGCAAAAAGTAGCATATTCAAAGTTCCTTACAATTTTTCCCCAAGATTGTTTAACCATGTAACATCCATTCTTCTTTTAGTTGTCAGTAATTTTCCCAGCTTCTGTGCTTTAGCATGATAATGTGTCTTTTTATAATTTTAATGGTTTAATAAACATACACTACATCCAAATTTTTGCCCCTTTTAGATCATACTCCTTTTCAGAGAATTCTACTGAACTGTAACATTTACTACGATCTCAAAGCACTTGAGGATAAAAGAGTGATACACATCTTTTAACAAGTGACAACAGCAGATTTTTGCTCAATTTGAGCTGATCCCTGAAGCTAGTTAGAAAGAATCCACTGGTAGTAGAGACACTGTTCTAAGAAATATGTACCACTTCACTGAACTTTGAAGTATATGAAAAAGACTTGAGTGCACCTTCTGAACTTCATTCCAGTTCCTTGACAGAAAGACCACAGAACTGGAAATGCACCATCAGTGAAAGTGGTGCAAGGCATAGAACTTTGAAATGCCATAGAACTATTTTATGCAGCAAAATGGTTTGACTACTTGGAAAGATCATGAACTAGCCATGAAAATTAAAAAAAAAAAAAAAAAAAAAAAAAAAAAAAAAAAAAAAAAAAAAAAAAAAAAAAAAAAAAGAGAGAAAAAGAAGATGAATTGGAATAAGGACAATAAATTTGAACTAATAAGACTAATGATGTTGACAATATGAGAAACTTAATAACAACAAAATTGTATTCTTATATATTCACCAAAGGTCATGCTACTGACAGGTAGTGGGGAGCTATACCAGTAGAACACTAAGATCAGTATTGCTGTCTATTTAGGAAATAGCAAGAAAACAAAAGGGAAAATGGTACTATACTGAAAATTGCATCACTTGTTTACAAGTCCCTGACAACTCAGAGGCAAAACATCTTGGACATTTATGGATCAATGACCCCACATCTGAAGCACAAGGAGAGAGAATATTGACCGTTAATATACAGAATAGAACAGCACGTCCGTGCACTCAGCTAAAAATGGGCATAACATTCCCTCACACCATGACCCCAAAACTGTTATCACACAGGACTTTAATTTAACAGATACTGTTCATTCTGTAAATGTACAATCATTCTGTAAATTTTACAGCAGGCTCGGGATTTATAAAAATCAGAAAACATAAAAATACTGAATTTGGTACCGTGAAACCTTGACTAGACCTCAGCTTGACAAGTAAAGAGAAACTGATCATCAAAATAAAGATGAGCCAGAACTTATCTACAAGTGATCGTGCCTTGGTTATATTTATTATGTGCAAACAGAATAAAATCCAGTTCATATGTACTTGGTTCTTTTAAAGTTCCAGCTTCATAAAGCTGCAAAAAATCCTGTACTCAGATTTGAGGAAAGAATCTGACTTCAAAGACATATGACTTTTTATCAAGTAAGACTCTTTGAAAGTCACATACAAACAAATGGGTCACTAATTATAAGTAGATGAGAGTTAACCAAAAACTTAAACCTTTCCCTCAGACTACATATAAACAAACGGAGGGAAAACTAGGGGGACACCTCAGGGATAGCAATAAGCTTAACTAAAACGCTATAGACTACTCAGTGAAGCAGGAGACACAAGAAAGTCTTTTTGGTACACTAGGAACAAAAGGGATCCAAACGTTATTACAAAGTCCATTATTTGATAGAAATTCTTCAGTACTGAGAATCTACAAAAGGCAGAACTGTTCAATTCACGGTCTCTAACAATAAGTATTCTGACAAACTTTGTGATAAATATTGTCTATACCAGTAATAAACTACAGTTATAAATGACAGCAATTAAGGCTAGACACCAGGACACTGCTAAAGCACTCACAGGTCATCAAGGGTATTGCAGGAGAAGAAATAATCCAGAAAAGATTATTATAAGAAACACACAGAAAGTAGAAAAGTAAGCCTCACAAAAGAAAGATCTACCTCGAAGTGCTATGTTTTACAAAGTCAAGTTTGGGGACAATCACAGTACACACACGCATGATCCAGATGTGATAGCAGAGGGCTTCTCAGTCTAGCAAAGATACAAAAACCACTAGCCTGAATTTAAAAGCAAGTAATTTCAGTTATACAAAATGGCACCTACTTCTAATCGGCTCAGAGCAATTCATTTAACAACACAAGATACACTGCCTTCCTGGCAATGTTTAAAGACAGCAACAAAAGGGTTTTCTAAATGATGCATTCTCTCTCAAAGAGGTCATAATTCAGGGCAGTTCTCTAGCCTGCATCACGTAGGTCGTTTTAAACAGGGTTTCTGTAAGTACTCACAAACTCTTTTTTGCCCTGAAAGCCTTCTGAAAAAAAACAAACTGACCACTGGTGAAAACCATCAGCACAGCTTTTAAAATTCCTCTCTCACGTTTGAGCGAATATTTGTTTTCATGTAACAAGTTTTGTAACAAAATTCACTTTTTATTGATATGCTTCTACGCAGTTTGACACGCACAATATGCTCTCTGTACATCTCTATTTTAAAAAGGAGCATCTATTCCAGCTCGCAAACCCAGCCACCTCAGCCTTCACTATTTTACCTGACACTCTGTGCACAGTAAACTTCTCCACCCTTCCATTATTTAACCTGCCCAAGCAGCTCAGAAATTGTGGGTCCCTTCCAACTCAAGAATATTCTGTAATTCTGTGCTTATAAAGCACAAGTACCTACCAGATGACGTTCACTATTGCAGATACTCTGAGCCCTTTCAGAGATCCAGAACTGCCTCCATTACATGGTTTATTGAAGTCGGTGTTGATCTCCAGTGCTGCACATCCTGGTATGGGGAGAGCCGAGCGTGAGAACGCACCCCTAAAAACCCAGACACCCCCGGAGGAGCAAACCAGACATCTTCCCCAACTTTGCCTGCACATACACTGTGCTGCTTCCCCACGCTCGCCCCCGCACCGCAACGCCACGGGATGCGAGACAACTACGGAGCCAGAACTTCATGGCTTGTTGGCTGCCGTCAGTCTGTCTGTCAGTCCGTCAGTCTGTCCGTCCCAGCGCTGACACCGGGCGGGAACCCGCCGGCTCCTCCGGGCGCAGCGGTATTACTGAACTTCTTTGACTCTCTTTTCTGACTGACGAGTCAGACGGATCTTCCCCCACTCCGTGACAAGCAAAACCCCGCACAGGCTCCCGGCACAGGGCGGAGGAGGGAAGAACGCGGAGAGGAGCTCGGGCTCGAAGGGGTTTAACCCCCCTGCGCGCCGGGCCGGGGGTACAGGCACAGCCCGCTGCCAAGGGATGCCCTGGCTCCCCCTGCCTGCCCGGAGCCCACCGCCCCCGACGGGCGATGACCCCCGGCCGCGGGGGCAGCGCCGCCGCCAGACAATGGGGAGGCGGGCGGGGCGCGGCCGCCCCACCGCGCCCACGCCGCGGGCGCCGTCCCTGCCGGGCCCGGCCCGCCCGCCCCCGCCCGCTGGAGCCGCCCTCGCCCCGGGGCGGCGGCGCTGTCCCGTCGCCGCCGGGGGAGCGCCTGGGCCGCTCCCGGGGGAAGCGGGGGCGGGCGCAGAGCACCGCCTCCCCGGGGAGCGGGGATCGACCTCCCGCCTCCCGGCGCCGAAAGCCCCCCCAGCGAGCCCCTACCTGCCGGCGCCGCTCCGCCTCGCCCCCTCAGCCCGCGCCGCCGCCCGCCCGCCGCCTGCGCTCACAGCCGCGCCGCCATCTTGCGCTCCACAAACTACTGCACTTCTTTCGGGGCGGGGGGGCGGCGGATGGGCCAGGAGCTCCCAACGCCGCGGCCGCCCGCGCCCTCGCCTCGCCCCGCGGCGCCCACTCGCATCCTCCCGGCGCGGCGCTGCCCCGGGGCGGGAGCGCGGCGAACGCGAGGAGCGCGGCCGCAGCCTCAGCCGCCCTGGCAGCGAGCGGGGGCGGAGCCGCTCCCGCCGCCCCGCCCGTCGGGCGGCGGACACCGGGCGCGGGGGGCTGCCCCGGCCCCGCAGCGCCGCGGCCCTGGGGGCGCCGGCGGCTCCTGGGCCGGGCGGGGAGGAGCGGGGGCGGCAGGGCCGGAGTTCCCGGACGGCGGCGGTGCCGCCGTAGCCGCTCCTCCGTCGGCAAAGTTCGGCTCCGCGCTCGGCCCTCCCGCCGCGCCCGGGACGGGCTGTCAGGGCAGCGGCGCCTCCAGCCTCGGGAAGGCTCTTCAGCGACTCCAAGCCCTGAGGTGCCGCCGAGGGAGGACACGGCCGCAGGGTCAGAGCCCCAAAGGAGAGAAGCGGCTCTGAGGAAAGAGAGTCCGCCCCATTCTTTGTTTGTTTGGTTTTTTGTTTAGTTACAGAACTTTAGGAAAGGATATCTCTCTCACTTTAGTATATATAAAATATTTTAGTCAATATTTGGTTTTTACTCTCGCTGCACCCTTTTCAAAAACGTTTCCATATACTATTTCTTTCATCGCTATGTGCTGTGTTTTGGGTCAGACACTAAAATGTGGCCGTTTCCCTGAGAAAGAGAAAAATAAAGATGTGGCTTGTGGGAGCCTTTAACCGTTCATAGCTCGTCATGGAAAACGAAGATCTACAATTGGAAACATTTTTTAAAGATCTGCCTAGGTACAGTATCCTGGCGAGACTAGTGACAGGAAAGCATTTGATCAAAGCTTGGAAGAGCAAAAGTTTCAATCCCAGGAATGTTTCTGCTTCCTCATTGCAACACTGTCACTCCTGTTCAGTTTTCCAAACAGTTCTCTTGGGAATGCAGTCAGCAAACCGCCCCCAGTCACACTGGAAAGCAGTGACAGCAGCCAAGATAGAGATCAAGTTAAGGAAAAGTAACATTAATTCATTTTTTATATTTCCAGTGTAATATATTACATTAAAATTTTCAATGTAAATTTTCTTTTTCTCCTGGGCTTGCCTTTGTTTTAAAACCCATACACCAGGAGTGGAGAGGAAGCTGCTCACATGGACCTCTTCTTTTAAAACCTTAATATCTGTGCTGGTTTGTAAGTGCAAGGTTATTGATGATCAAAATTACCCTGTGATTAAAACAGAGCAGACAACACACCACTAAAAAGAGATTAATTTTTTATTAATACCCAAACAGAGAAAAGAAAATGTGCATAACGAACAAATGTTTGAAGAAACACACTAGAAGGACACAAAAAAAGAACACTATTGACATAGGTAAGAAACCAAACAGAGGGATTGCACATTTCGGTGTTCAGTATCACCACACGCTGTGTGTGAACAACAAAGGATTGTGCCACATATTTTATGAGAATGAATTTTTGTAGAAGTTGTGATACAGTGAAACTTGGTCTCATTTTTTAAAATAACTATCAAATTAACAGATAAATTTTCTCTGCTGGTTTGAGAAGGAATACATTTTCAAATCAGGATATTGCTTTGCTTTTACTTCAATATATTTATTGCAAACAATATATTCACTTTTTTGTAATAAACAGATTTCAATTTCCCAAGGTAACTAGAAAACTATTTACAACTTAATTCAACTACAGGCCACCTGATTAACTAACAAATGATATTAAATGCTTTTCTCCAGCATTAAGATTACCATTGTTACAAACACAACTAAACTTTACCTTAGAAAGTTACAGTAGTAAATCTTGCTTTGTTTCAAGTTAGTTTTTCTTTTAAAGACAGGTACTGAAATTATTTATTCAGATCTGTGTTCTAAAGGCAATCACAGCATACGTCACATAAAAATATACACAGATAGGAGGGAAATATCAAATAAAAGTCATTAAATTACTTTATTTGAGCTTTCTTAATAAATTTTAACATATATTTGTTTCATATATGTATAAATATATGTGCAGAACTAGTATTTATTGAGTTATGCAAAGAAAAGAGCATGCAACCAAAAGGAAACATTACAGACTATGTGAAGTCAGGTATCTGAAATCACGGATCACGGATCACTGAAGGCTGTAATTTCTTTCTTCATTGCCTAAGAAGAAGAAAAGACAAATCAGGAGTCAGTGTGAATACAAGCTTAAGAACCCTGTTTACCTCTTCATCAAAAGAAGGAAGAATCTGTATATACATACAGTAGTTAATAATAATTTAGCTGCTTCTGCCATCACATCGTTCTATACCCACTGGCTTCAAACACATCCTTATGCACCCAAAATAGTGTAGGCTAGAAAAACTGCAGGGATCTGTACCAAGAGGCTATGGATCTCTATCAATGGTGCTTTTAACAATTAGAAAAGAGACAGTTCCCGAAGAGCCACAACTAAAAGCCGTAACTGTTCTTTTCTCAATAAATACTTGTTAAAGTCTCTCTCTTCATACAGCAGAACTTGCTCCTGGACTGACTTGTGCTGTTATTCTGAATAGGAGATTTTTTTTTCATTAAAGCTCAACTTAAAAGTTGAAAACAAACAAAGAAATCGAATCCCATCACAAAAGTACACAAGCCCCAAACGTAACAAACAAATCCCTTCTCATGCTAAAACATATCATTATTCTAGAAGAAATGGGTGCCTTTATCAGGAATGGCATCCCTGGATCCAAATAATCCTCACTGTTGCACAATCAGAGTGGAGTGTCTGTTCTAACTATTGGGCGTGGAAGAAGGGATCAAGGTGACCCGGGCCAAAGAGAAGAGGCTTCCCGGTTTTTTTAAGGAAGACTGAGAGACATGAAGAATTTCTTCTATTTTTAGGCACAACCACCTGAAACATAAATGGATTCCAGGACCTTGAAGCTGAAGACTGAATATCCAACCTGTCTAAATCAAGTCAATACCGGGAATGCCTGACTGGGACCATGGGTTCCTGTGAAATATTTCTGACAAAGTTCTGACAAGTCGGAAATCCTCTCTTAGAGGGCAAGATTAGAGAATTTGACTCAACAGCATTGTTAAACCATCATAGGCAGGAAGCTCCCCACATATGAAATTAAAGATGCTTGAGCTATACTAGTTAAAAAGAAAGTCTGGTGAGACTAGAGACTAAAGTCTCTAATTCTTCTTATGTTTCATAATTAATTTCTTTTCAATAATGGAATGAATGCTATACAAGTGTTACCAAGTGTGACCATGTTCTCCGCAAGGGGAGAACGAGGAAGCGACAGACTGAGAAAAGCACCCTCTTTTCCCAGCCCCCCACCCCCGAAAAGGTGCTGGAGCAGAACTAGTGACAGACAGGTCAACTATTTTGAGACAGCTCTCTGAGGGGACCCAGCATCTTAAAGACTTTTCCTGCTGGAACTGCCAACACTGAAGCAAAATGCAACAATGGATAAATGTTTTCCAGCCTGAAATGAACAAGTCTTGTAACAGAGGCAACTAAGCAGTAAAGAGTAATGCTATAATAAGTGTGATGTTCACAGGGCACACATACACATGTGTAACACACACACACACGTAATAATGGCAGAAAGTGCTCTAAGACAAAAGAAATTACCTTCACTAATTCCTTTTTGTCGCCATCTTCCCGATGTTGGTAAATGCACTGGCTAAGAACAGCGTATAGTTTTTCCATGCGAAATATACTGACGTTCTCAGTTAGCATGGCGATAGAATGCAACACTTGCTGAAGAAAAAAAACGGATATGAGTTAAGAATAGCACAAGATAAGCTGCAAACAGAAAAGGTAGGACGTGGCACAGGTGCATGGCCAACATCCCACATGAAACTATTTCTAACTGCTGCCATATAGGTGACTGCATGCTCTTCCGTGTGTTCATCAAGTTCTAGGCCTATTACCAAGCAAATAAACTATAAAAAAACCCAAAACAACCAAAACCCCAAACAAAAAAAATCACCCCAAACAAAACCGAGCAGCTATAGATTGGAGGTTCACCCAGCTTACTGACTGCAGGTGAGTTCCAAAGAAGGTCTCTGGCACAAGTAGCAAGTTTCAATGACCCCCATGTTAAGAAAACAAGTTTTCTAAAAGACATATTTCGTGACTGTAGCTCTGTCCTCACAGCTGGAACATCTGTAAGGGCTGTACCATACAACTTATCCAGCCGGCAACAACTTAGCACGTGCTATTAGCACCCTGGCTCTAGAGAAACCTATGTGGATTCTCTACACACACAGGCAGATAGGAACAAGAGCTTCCTCACGATGGGAAGCAGAGGGGCAGGTACCAATCTCTGCTCTCTGATGACCAGTGACAGGACCCAACGGAATGGCATGAAGCGGTGTCTGGGGAGGTTTAGGTTGTATATTAGGAAAAAGTTATTCAGAGAGTGGTTGGGCACTGGAACAGGCTCCCCCGGGAAGTAGCAATGACCCCAAGCCTGAC